AAGGGGAACACTAGACTTAAGAGGAAAGCAAATTATTTTGAATCAGATAATCAAGTCAGAAGGCAGCTGCAGCAGTCCATACACACCTGTAAGGATGGAAGTAAAGAGTAGATTGGAAAGGGATTAAGAGTTATTTAACAGAAAACTTAATAAGAGTCTAGATCTGTATTTATAGCCAGTGCAGGGTTAAAAATCTCATCAACATGGTTTGTTGAGGAAGAATGAGCTACTGGGATGAGGACCTTTAAGAGAAATAAAATAGTAGAAGAGAAAGGAGCAGTTTTGTCTTTATCAAGTTGGTAATGAGATAGTTGCAAATAACCTCAGTTCAATCAATAAAGGAAGGTCAGAGGTTGATAAACATTATGGGGTGACTACATCACTTGAGAGCAATAGAGTTTCATGAAATTTACATGTTTAACACTCTAGTCAAATACTATGACTCTTCTGATTCTTGAAGAGAGTAGAAAACATACACTACAATGAAATGATTTCAAACCAGTATTTGCACAATTAATTTTAAGCATAACAAATAATATTGAATAGAGATGTTCTTTTTAAACATTTTTTTTCTCTAGGATATGAGTCTTGATTTTCTTTTGTGTGACATTGGGGAAGAATGTAGTCGTAGTACTGTAAAAATGATGAAAGAAAAATGTTTCAAACCATCCATGTGTAGGAAAAGATGATTGAATATGAGGATGAGAGTACATTGGACTGAGCCACGCTGACACATCCACATCAAGCCACGGCAGTGATGGAAGCGTGCGTTTCATCAGTGCACGAGGCACGACAACAGTCAGCCTCCGCCAAGTAGCGTATGGTTTCTAACCCTGAAAATGCCTTCCAGAACAGTCATCGATGGAAAGTTCAACGCTTACTTACAGAAATATCGATGTGTTACACACATGAGTTCTGTTAGATTCCCTAGTATGTGGAGGTAGTAGAGACATGTGCATTTCTCTCCCAGGTGGTAGAGTTTTATTTCAATTCCGGCATAGTCCAGGTGTTTCTCTTGCATGCCCGTGAACACACATAAGGGGTCAATGAACCCAGGTATATATTAGAGTGCAAATATTTTTTAAATTATTGCTTTGAATTTTTGTCAGATGTTTTATATTAGGAATAATATAACATATGATTTTTAATACTTGTGTAATTTTATACCCATGTGAATACTTCATGGAAAATTTAATTAGGTGTTATTAGAATAAATACATACACTTACATATGTGTGTAGTATGCATGTATAAAATTAGTGTTGTTTAGTAGTTGAAAATCTTTTGGGACCTCTTTAAGGTAGTCAAGGAAATAAAAAATTAAAAAGGGCATGGATTATTTTTCTAAGTAACTCAGATTTATGAAGGCCCAAGCTCTTGTTGCAGTTATGCCATCCACTTTCAGAAATTAAATTTGTTCTTTTTTCTTTCTTGCTTTGAGGAGTAGAAGATAGAAACATTTTCAAGTATGTGAATATTGATCCTACATGGGTTGGGAAAGAAAATGAAATAATATATGTTTTGAATAAATCTGTACTATTTTAATAACAAGGAGGCACTTCTATAGTGCTATACAAAATTTAAAGAACATTTTTTACACAAAATCACATTTGAATTCTCATAAAAATCAGTTACAATCTCCCAAAATTTGTGCCTCTGTTAAAGTAGTATGTATAGCTATTTATGGTATACATATTGTTTGGTCTCATTCTTGGCTTCCTTTAATGTGTTGGTTTGCATATTTTTTATTATTTTTCCCTCTAAATTGTATTATCTTTTCTACTTGTGTTTTCTGAAAAGTTTTCTTAATATTTTCATTAAGATAAAGAAAATATTTAATCAAATTATTTAATTTTATTCCAATTAAATACAGAAAATGTAAGTGACAATGTAATTTTTCATTTAAAAATCACTGAGGTTTAAAATGGCTGTCTACTTTTGCCTACATGTTAATATAACTAAGGTCTAATGTCAGACAACTCATTTTTTCACCAGCGTTTCTTCACATTTCTTTGTTCTGTGAGGTTATCTTTGTCATCCTATGCACACATTAACGCATTCTTCAACACCAGTTTAGAGACTGGGTGCGTTGGCTCATGTCTGTAATCCCAGCACTTTGGGAGGCAGAGGCAGGTGGATTATGTGAGGTCAGGAGTTCACGACCAGCCTGGCCAACATGGTGAAACTCCTTCTCTACCAAAAATACAAAGATTAGCCTGGCATAGTGGCACACAATTGCAATCCCAGCTACTCGGGAGGCTGACGCAAGAGAATTGCTTGAACCAGGGAGGCAGAGGTTACAGTAAGCCAAGATTGTGCCATTGCACTCCAGCCTGGGCAACGAAAGTGAAATTCTGTCTCAAAGAAACCAAAAAAACAAATAAAAAACCAATTTAGAGTGTGAAAGTGTCTGTAGAAAATGTTTAATAATAATGTTGTAGAGTTTTTAGAAACCAATGCCTTATGGAAGCTTGCTATTACAGAGCTCCAAGTTCATAGCTATGTAGGAAAAACCAATAGAAAAAAAAATGGCAACTACCACCACAAAAAAATTTGTCTCCAGCCCACTCTTGATTCGCTTTTTCTGCTTAGAGGTTCCAGGTCTCCATATTCTCACCAGGCTGCTCATGCTTTCTCCTGGTCTTTCTACTCCATCCTAATGCTAGTCAGTTCCAAAATGAAAAAAACTGTCTGTGCTGTCATTCGTACAACTTTTGTTAAACTTTAAGAAAAATGGAATAATGGCTGGCTCCTTTTTCAAATTTATCTGCTTAAATAATTCTAGGTATCAGTTAGCTCTTACATTTTTAGGCAAAAGCTTTTTGCTACTATTTCTGAGATTATTTTTATTTTTTTTAATGCCTGACAGCTTTGAATTCATCATTTTACAGATTTGTGAAGCCCAAGTTCCCTATTTTAAAGAAGATCACGCGATCAATAACCCAAAAGATTGAGTCAATGATTTCCTGCGTAATGGAGAGCCTTGGTCATTGCTAGTCTTCAGTAGTGGTCGCTGTTCCTTACAATGCTTATTTAGAAATCCAAAGAAATAATAGCAGTGGTAGCTACCATTCTTGAGTGCAATGTACCAGACACTAATTTACATACTTTTTCTCAATTATTACAAAGCTTTATAATTTAGTATTCTAATAACCCCCTTTTACAGAGGAGATAGCTTATTTTTAATCATTTTCTTTAGAGAAATTGGGCACTTCTGTTTATAGAATAGTTTCTTTAAGTACGTGTGTGTGTGTGTGTGTGTGTGTGTGTGCAGGTAGAGAGACTTATTAGTACTTTAATTAACTAAATGGTTTGGATCCATTCATAGAATTAATTTCATCACCTGTAGCAGAGTATCTTTGAGGAAAAGAAATGTATATACCTTTCTTGCTGCTTCTACAGTTTAATTTAGTTGAAAATATAGCTCCTTTTGAAACCTCCCAAGGAAACTGACGAACCAAATATTTTGAATCTTTAAACGATTCATTGCGTTCAGATATTTACGGGCTGGCAGAGGAATTTCTGAGAGAGCCAGAAACAAGAACTCAAGCGATGACTGGATATCTTAGTTTCTGAGGGATTTGAAGGTTCTGAAAGGCATTAGCTGGGTTCCCTGTCATTTACAAAAGCCCAGGAGAGCAGAGAGAGGATTTAAAGGGCCTTGGAGTTGAAAGAGAAAGCAATCAAAGGGAAGGAGAAAAGTGGACTTTAAAAAAGGTACACCTAAGTTTATGGTGAGTTAGAGGACAAAGGGCATGACCGGAGTGTAGGTTGTCAAGCAAAACAGAACAGAAATCCTGAAAACTTCTAACCAATTGGGAATTTACAAAGCACTTTATAATTAGAATTCTTCATTAACATGCTTTCAAGATGTGTCATTTGGCTTAACAAATGAATAATTGTTGATTAGATGAAGAGCAGAAGTTAGAAAATTAAGATCTGTTCTGGATTTCTGAAGTATTTTACTTATTTTTGACACCAGTTCAATTTTTTTAATGAGCATTACCAAAATAACTGAGGGTAAGGGTCAGAAAAAGAAGGAGAAGAAACTCTTTTATAGCTCAAATCTCTAAAAGTAAGTTAAAAATCATAACATATTTACCTTAAGCATATTAAATGGGTTAAAGAAGCAATTTTTTTAAAGTATGGTACCGAGTTCCTGAATCAGAGACTCTGGGGTGGGGCTGGGCCTTTTAATGTATTTTCACAAGATTTTGATTTTGCTGATGCTTGAGATGTATGCTGGGTGATTCTGATGCATGCTGAAGCTTGAGACCCACTGAGTTAAGGTAACACTAGGTACTGTAGCAGACATGTGCCCAGTCTCAGTAGTGTGAGACAATGAGTGTTAATTTCTGTTTAGGTAAGAGCTCAAGCATGGCGTTGCTCCTCTAGAGGATGTCCTCCTAGGATGCAGTCTCTCATTTTATGTCTGTCACGTTTATCATGTGATTCCCCATATCTTGGGAGCCATTTCCTTAAATGGAAACAATAACATCACTTCAACTAGCATTTCTTTGAGTTACATCTAACTGCAAGTGAGGCTGAAAAATGCAGTCTAGCTTTGTGTCTGAAAGTCTGAGGAAGCCAATGTGATCGGCTAGCTCACATTGCCAAGCATATGCTTATATATGCACGTGTTTTTTTCTTAACTCTAGTGTCTTTATTGAACTACGTATTTTTTCTATTCTCATAACTTATTTGTTTGCAACGTATGTTCATAGCCTGTTTACAATTTCAACATTCAACCTCATCTTGGATACTGTATCTCCTTATCAATTTTATAGTTAAATATTAAAAACAGCCTGGTTTTTGAATTTTGTGTTTCAACAAACATTAATTCTTATGTCCATTCATGCTATACAGTAGCTCCATGTGTCTAAATTAAGTAGGTGAAAATGTTTATTTCTCTAGGATAAAAATTTTTTTTGCCATCTTTTAGATGCCAAGAACATAAAACTGTAGACTTGATACCCTTGTATAAACTGGAAGAGCCACAAACATACTTTAATAAATATTGGTCTTATTGCAAAAGATAGAGACAAACATCATTTTCAGACAAGCTCTATTCGTTGCATTGGTAATTCTCCTATCCTGAGTCTTCAAAGAGCATTCTTTCCCTTTCCTTCGTTTTTGGATTTCTGCCAGAAGATAAAGAGCATGAGTTATTCAACTTGGTCTTTGGAGAGATACAACTGAACTGGTAGATAATTTAATAACACTGTTTGACCTCTTTGTCATATTGATTCATTTATTTACTTATAGGAGAGGAATGTATACACTGGAATGTTCTATTAAATGAGGTTATGAAATCATCTTAGGAAGGAGTATACATGTGTGTGTACATTTCTCTGAAGAAGACATTCAGCTAAACCAGATACCACATTGAAGGTTTGTAAAGCACTATAATTTTGTGATTTTATTCTAAAACCTTTTACATTGCCCAGGTGAAAGTCTAAGAAAATAGTTTGTCTACATTAACATCTGAAAATGTCACTAATGATGAAGAAAAACTAATCTCAGATCTCTGAAATTCTTTTGGTAACTCTGTCCTGAATTTCTAACCAGCCGTTCTCATTTTTGAGAACATGCACATTTTAAAACTTGTATCTGGATTGGTTGTTTACCTTCTAATTGTAAATAGCCAATTAGAATGGATAAAATCTTATTCCTAGTTTTGTAGAGTTAAAAAAATGCATCCCAAAATATTATAGGAAGTTTTGGAAATGGGACATTTTTATTTCAAGTGTGAATTCAACACAAAATACTTTTTTATGGGGAGTTCAATAATAGTTGTATTACTCAGAAAAATAAGACATTTCTTTTAGTGTTGTAATACTAAAGCATATGAATATTTATTGAATAATTGTAAAAGATTACTGTCCTAGCGTTCGCCCTAAGTAGTTTGTGTTGCACATAGTTTTGCTTCTCAAGGGCAAACATATATGACGAAAATTAACAAAATATATAACATGTATTTGCCATATTTAGGGTAAATTTGCCACTATTCGAGGACATAATCTATGACCAATAGCACACTGTGTGTGTGATATCTACTATCCTATTATAGGTTTTCACTTTCAGGGCTATCTCTCCAGATATGGTTTATTACTTCCTGAATATTCTCCTTCCAATTTAAGTAAGCTGCCACTAGTTGAGCTGTGAGTATAATGTTAGAATTCGGAGATAAAAAGATGTTATTTCCTGCACATTTGGTCAGTTGTAATGGAGAATTCAAACCCACTCTGTATGTGAAGACGACTCTTACATTATGCTTTCCCCTTTATTTTCTCTATGTAGATATTTATTGTGCAAAGCAAATCATAGCTTACCTTTGTATTCTCACTTCAAGTAAGGCCTATAGTTTGCTTGTGTTTTCCTCACTGGTTGCTCACTTCCTTAAGTCTCCAGAGCATGACCTCATTAGTGCCCTCTCCAAAGGATGTTTGAAACTTCAGAGGAAGTTTCTCTATTTGTGAATGGCACTTTGAATGGTTTTTCCAGTCTCAAATAGATACTGTAAACTTCTCCTATCTTTTTTTTCCTGTTTATCAGTAAGCATAAGAGAGCAGACACAAATCCTTGTGTGTCACATACCTTGTATTATTTTTACAATGTTCTAGTGAAATAATGGTTTTCCCTCTTGGTACCATTCAACAGATGCGTATCTTGAAGGAGAGATATATTAAGTAACAAGTCCAGGGAATGTATAAATAATGAGGCAGGAAATCAAAACTCCAAATTCTCAAGCGAGGTTTCTATTTTAGTTAGAACTTGTGGGTCCTTCATCATGTTACATCTCACCTTTTCCTGCCCATTATTTTTTAATTAGTTAGGATTGTTGTGAGTTTCAACCCTAAAAAAGACACTGTGAATTTTGGTAAGTTTTTGAATAGAAGAATTTCAAATAATGGAGAAAATGAGAATAATAATCTAGACTTTGGCAGGTAGAACCTTCTCAAAAAAGGAAGTTGGCACCATTGGTAAAGTATGATGCCCAGAAGAGAATTAGAGACAGAGTTTAAGCTCTCCGTATAGTGGAAAGTATCGACAGTAATTAGCCAAGATTTCTTCAGTATTGTTTAGAATAGCATTATTGGACATTTGAAGCAAAATCTTTAAGTGCTCCTCAAAGCTTATGCTATTGAGGAATACTCAAATTTCAGTTGCAAGCTTTTTCCCCTTAACTTGTTTTTAACTTGTCAAGAAATCAGCCACAGGCAATACATGTATTTTTGGAAAATTAAAGATTCATTCTAACTTTGTTTATGAATTTCAAGTCCTGACCAACATGTATTTGAAATTTCATATTAGTTTATACTTTGTTGAATGAGCACTATTTAATAATGAAAACTGCTGTCTCACTAGATTCTACAAAACATCAAGTTTGGAATAGACATGTGAAATTAAATATAGGATTTTGGTAGTTTAAATACCTTTTGGTTCAAAAGAGGAAATAAATGTACTCATTGAAAGTATATTTAAGTTGCCATTTGACTGAATTTATTTATAAGAAATTGAGCTTTTTATATTCAACACAAATTTGGAACTCTTAAAATCATGATAGAGGAGTAACTGGGAATGTTGGTTACAAAATGAACTTAAGAAGTAATGTGATGATCTGATTATATCATCATAAAGTTATGCATGAAACTGAAAAGCATGTACTTCTTATTGAGGCCAGTACAGATATCTTTACATTCTGATTGTGTCATGCTAGTTATTTTGAAAGAAATACTACATATATATGTGTACATACATATACACAAAAAATGTGAAACTATATATGCACACATATATACATATATGTACACATATATACATAGATGCATATATACATATATGTGCATATATAGTTTCTATATATACATATATGTACACATTTCTATATATATAGAAATGTATATAGATATATACATATATATGTACACATATGCGTATATGTATGTGCATATATATATAGTTTCACATATTTACTCCAAACAAAGTTTTATAAGATCTAGTAGGAAAGCATTTTATATATTACATAAATATGAAGTGACCAAGCTTCACCGAATCAAATCATTTGTCTCAGTATTTTTGTCTTATGAAAGTAATTAACCAGAAAATATATTTATTAAGTTCAAAATAGGTAAATATTTCCAACCTCTTGTCCTTGATAGTCACTTTAGAAGCATACATTGTAGCCTCTGTCTGTTCTGAGGGCAATGATTTGTACTATAATTATCTGACAATTCTTACTTCAAAAGTTCTCTTGGAGATAACCATGTCTTGTTAATTTAGTCTTTCATTAGTGTTACTTTCATTAATTTCTACTTGTTTTACTCTCTAGAAGCAGAAGCCTTTTAAGTTCTGACACTTAAAAGCTTCTGAACGAAATGTTATTTTATAAGCCAGAAAAACTAAAATTTAGAAAAAGAGTGAAACTCTTTGTCACTTTGAAAATTGATGCTGCCTAGTTCTCAGATTGAAGTGAGTAGCAGGTAGTGGCTTCATTTTTGAGCACATTTATAAAATTACACATATTTCTAGCACCTAGACATATGTGCTAAAAATTTTGTGAGGTTGTACACACTTGCATCACTATTTATTTGAAATGTTTTGATTTCCTAAAAGACAGTTATATGCACATTCAAATATATGTACAAAAATAATTAAAAGTCATATATAAATAGAAATGGCTCGTTTCCTTCTCTCCATCTGTAAGGTAATTGATAATTGTCGCCACAGCTACACTTAGGGCAAGATTTGACCTGTGCTTCATAGTTATGTCTGGAGAGAGAGAATTTTATGTTTTAATCTTTTTATTGAATTATTTCAAGGCCTTGCTTACATCATTCAGCTTGTCTATCTGCAAAATGGGACAGATGAATATTTCATGGGGATTTCACCACAAGATGCAGTGGGTGTTTGAATGATCCACTCATAGATGAGTTATTATTGAGTAATACATATAAATTCATGTACCCCACTAGGGTTTATATCAATAATGGAGGCAAAGCCCAATTATATGAAAGAATAATTTAGATACTTAAAAAAAAAACCCTGCTTTTTCTACAGAGAGCAATTTTCTCTTTCTCTCTCTCTCTCTCTAAAATTCTGTCTAGCATTTCAGATTTTATAAAAATCTTTCTGAAAATACTTATTAGGAAACATGAGACAGAGGCAGGGAAGTTGGATTGATAGATGATTAAAAACTTATCAATGACACACAAAACTAAAGGAGTTTAGTCACGTTCGCATGTATTTCTACAAGGCTGATATAGAGCAATTGTGGTTTGTGCTGTTAAAAGTAACGGCAGGCTATTAAATAAATAAACAGTATGCGTATACCTGTGTGCGTGTGTATACTATTCCATCACTAACTGTAAATTTATTAAAGTAATATTTGCCCTTTTAATAACAGAATAAAAAGGGCTCATTAACTGGAAAGGTAATGCAAGAGTGGTATGCTGATAAATGTATACTGAGCGGTAGGTGCTGGAGGAAGGCTAGCTGCCAAATCGTCGGCTTTTCAGTGGTCTCTAATTTTTACATTATATAATTCAAAGCTACTTGTGGCAAAGTATGAGATTCAGGAGGAGAGGCAGGATGATTTACCAAGTACTTAAAAAAATATATATTTTACAAAGTCAAGTCATTTCTCTCTCCCTTTACTATTACAGTTTTGTAATAGACATTGCATTACAGACATTGCATTATATTAACATCTCTAAATAAATTAACTACTAAAATAAAACAAAATTTTATGACGTTTGAGTGGGTTTTCTTGTGGTTAAAGCAGTAAGCTTCACTGACACAAATCTGAGTGTAACATATGGTCTCAGCCTTAGGCCAGGGTGTTCCATTTGAATTATTCCAGGCTTTTCCTTACAGTGCTGTGCTTCAAACATGAATCCAATTACCAACTGCAGTCAGGGAACTGAAAGGCTGCAGGAGAAATGCTCTAATAGATGGGGAGCGGGGTAAAGGACTATGATTTGTGTGGTAATCAGCAAGAGAAGGTCAATTGTAATAGAATAGACTGGTTTCCAAGACAGAGCTAATGTAGGATGCCTTCCACTCCATGGAGGGATGCTATCAATAGATTTGTTGTTTTCATTACCAAGAATGTCACTTACTGACAAGACGAATAAAGAAAGTGTGAGAAGGCCAGTTGATGGATCAGGTGATTAAAACCTAGGCTGTGGTGAGCAATTAGCAAACTGATGACCTATTTGTGGACTCAAAGTGAAAGCTGGAAAGAAAGGAGCCATGCAAATGTGTACCTGAAAAGAACAGTTTTGTGTTCTTTAAGATTTATGGTCAAAGTCTAGGAATTGCAGTAGGAAACTGAATCAATGTGCACCTCTCCAAATGCAGTACTCCTTTTATACTCTAAATTATTAAACTTCTTCTCTATAGAGGAAATTTCAAAAAGAATGCCTACTGATTATACCACCCATATTATTTTTTAACAATTTCATTCCTTAAACTGCTATAAAGATGAGATCCAAAGCTCCGCAAACAAAAGAATACATTTTAACTCTATTTTCCTGTGAAGAGTCAGTCACGTAGTCAGAGAACTCTTCCTATGAATTATAACAAAAGCAAAAAAGAGTGATGAATCTAATAATTCAAAATATTTTTTACCAGAAATATTAAGTATATTTTTTAATAATTGCAAATTCTAGGCCCAAGAAATAATGTATTCAATGCTAATCTTATTCAAGTTTCTGTCTCCACTCTTACTCACCAGACTATTATAGAATAGAGTACTTCTTAAGCTTGCTTAAAGATTCTATTTTTTCTGCCTCTCAGTTAACAAATATGTAGTGATGCACTTTGCTGCAAGTTGTCAGGATAGCAACAGATCATTTTCAACCACCACACGTAAGTTGCTATAGAAAATCATAGAGAAAATACAAAGCCTCATAATTTTAATAATGCTTACTTTATTAAATAAAGCAAGAAAATGTATCTTTCATGTAGAGTATACCTTTGTGGTTGTGACTTCACCAGAGTATTCAAATTCTAATTCTTAAAGAGTAAAAACTTTCAAAACAATAACTTCATGGAATGTGGCTTCCTTCCCCCCATTGCAAGCACTTATTTACCGATATGAATCCTGTGAGACTCAGTCATATAGTGAATTACTTTCTGAGAATGACAAAGGAATTTGAGATGCAGTCAAAATTAAAGACCTTTGATTGGGAAGACTGATTGCTATAGGACAAAAATGTGTTTGTGCAGGCTTTTTAAAATTTCAGTTAAATATACAAAACCATTGAACTAATAAAAATAAATCATGTTAATAGAGCCATCCGTGGCTTTTTGGCACATCCTAAATGAAGGGAGTTTTCGGTGGTAGCCCTTACAATGTGGAGCAGCCATCTGCTTACCATATTTGATTGCTGTTCATTCTATAAACGCTCCCCTGCTTTTAGCACTTACAAACGATTAGCTGTTGCCCAAGCATCTTGATGCTGCTCTTTCACTGGGCAATTAGAAGAGAGTCCATGAGAGCTTGAGAGGGAGATATGCTTTGTTAGTGGCTACATTCGCGTCAAGCTTTAAAGCACTGCAAACACGAATATGTCCCTAGGAAAAAGGAAAGGTTTTTCAGAGTGATGTCAGAGAAAGAAAAAAGTCATGTACAGGTACAATCGTTTCAACTATATTCCCTACATTTTTTTCTGGGGCAGGACATTTTGTGGTTAGAAAAAGAAAGTTTTTAATTGCCTTTGTCACATGCTTCCCTCAGCAATTTATTTTCCCAGCAGTTAACAACTGCCTTTTATTGGTTATTTGGTGAGCATAGCCCCTGGCTCCAGTGGAGATTTTCATTTTTAAGTATTGGGCTGCTGACGAGGCTTCTGTTGCTGTGAAGGACACTATCCGGGGTTCTTTGCCTTCCTCAAGCTATTTTATTTCCTTTTATAAGTTTAAGAATATGTTCCAATTATGTATTTTGAGGAGATTCTTCATTAGACTTTCATGTTCAGAGGGATCGTTTTTCTTAATAAATGGGTTAAAGAGACAAGGCTTATGTATAACTATACTTTTCTTCCCTTTCTGACCGATTTTTTTCTTGAAATCACAGGATTTGTCAACTGCGGTAAGGTAGAGTTAACAAAAATGTTTGCTGGACAATAAAATTTCACATATTTTTAATGAAATCTGTTTTTGCTTATTGTTTTTTCTTACATCAACATTTGTACATAGGTGTACTCAGCTGGATAATGCTTCCTACATATCTATCTCAACTCAAAGAAATAATGAACTATGTACATGATTTTCTTCATAAGTGCCTGTTAATTTACTCTTTGCCGAGGGAAAATATAAGATATCAAACAAATCAATTGCTATTTAAATAATAAGAAGTTAAAAACGGAAAGACGTTTTCATTGTAGGAGTCAAAGGAGAGTTTTCAGATTTCCCTTGGGCCACTAATACACAGGCAATATTTTTTATTCATTTTTTCCCATGAATGATTAAACTGGAGATAGTGGGCATTTCAGCTGCAATACAAACATGACCAAAAAGATCTCATTGTCCAGAAAACAAGACTCCACAATGATGTTTTGTACTCTGACATCAATAATGGCTGCATCTTCTTATGACAGCAAAAGAAACTATGCTTGGCCATGCACGAGACTCATGCCTGTAATCCCAGGACTTTGAGAGGCCAAGGCGGGTGGAATGCCTGAGCTCAGGAGTTCAAGACCAGCCTAGTCAACAGGATGAAACTCCATCTCTAGTAAAATACGAAAAATTAGCCGGCGTGGCAGCATGTGCCAGTAGTCCCAGCTACTCAGGAGAATGAGACAGGAGAATCGCTTGAACCTGGGAGGCAGAGGTTGCAATGAGCTGAGATCTCATCACTGTGCTCCAGCCTTGGGCAACAGAGCAGACTCCTTCAAAAAAAGGAAAGAAAAAGGAAACCAGGCTTTGTAGGTGGAATGCTCAATGAGTCCAGTGACCAATCAATAATGTCATGTATCTAAAGTCAATTGTGCCAACTTTATATAATTATCTTTTAGTGTCATCTATTGTAAATATGGTTTTCATAAGTGGCCATGTACAGATGAAAAGTAAAAACTGAGACTGATTAGTAGTTGGAAAGACCATGTCCTGCATTTGGAAGTAATATATGTACAAAAGTATCTTAGTATACGTTGTGTAGAAAATTTTAATTTAAACACTTTTCCAAATGCTATGTTGATAACTTTCCCCAGTTATATATGTGCACAATTCAATTTCTCCTCCAAAAATGAAAATTTAGGCTCCTTTACCTAATTTCAAGCTTTGCCACATTTTGTATTACTTAAAGCCAAGTGGCTTAATAATTATCATTGACTGAAATTAATCAAAACCCAGGAGTAAATTCTAATTAATTGGGCAATAACCAAAGAGGTTTTTCTCATCTATTGTCTGGGAAGTAGAGCTCGGGCGGGAAGATCACAAAGCTACTAAGTTTTATAATGAAGACTCTTCGAGAAAGACAGACTAATCCCTGAGTATTGATTACACACTGTAGGGAAAGGACTAACTGGATTAAAATTCTGAAAGTGAGGGATTAAATCTGAAAAAGGAAGTTGCCATTATGATGTTTATTCAGGGAAATAAGAAGTCAGAGGCCAAACTTCCCAGGATATGAGTGCAGGTCTTCAAATAACAGCATTTGAGAGAGGAGGTAAAAACAGTTCTAAAGGCCAGCACTTATCAGGTGGATCAACACCTTCTCAGAAAATTTCTGAATAATGAAGAAAAACACCGATGTGAAAAGTTAGCTTTCCAAATTACTGACTGCCATCGAAAACACTGAGGCAATTCATATGAGCTCGACCTAGCTCCTTCACTTCAGGTCAGAGACTAAAATGTTCTCAAATACCCTGTACTTTGCTCAGCACTGGGGAAACAAGACTGTATGAAGTCTGATTCTGAAAGCTACAATGTTGGCTTTAGCTATAGTGGCACAAAAAGAACTGAAAATATAAGGTTACGTTTGATAACTCCAAATGAAAATTCTAGAAAGTAATATAATGTTAATTTATAGCAGTCACTTCAGGAAATAAAACTTGCTAATAAAAATTTTTTTGAAGATTGGAACTTCCAAATACTTGGCTTCCTTCAAGCCCTTTCATTATGTTTTGTTTGGTTGGTTCCATTTTTTTTTTTTTTAACAGATTGGACTATTTTCTTCTAAGGTCATGATGAAAAACTGGTTGCATGTGATTTTTACATCTTCTACGGTCATATGTAAAGTAATTGACAATAAAGTAAAAGAAGCTTGCTAGTTTTGATTCTCTGAATGGTACTCGCCCATGTCCACCTTTGATTTGGATACGGTTGGTCCTTTTCTCCATCACAGCTCATCTGTGCTGCTCTAACACTGAGCACACAGTTATTTATTCAGTTGTTGCATATTAGTTCCTCGGTGGTTAAAGTATCTGAACGAATACAAAGTCTTACCCTACATCGTATTATCCTTTATTAGTGGGAAATTGAAGTCTAGAGATCAGTATTAAGCCAGTCCCTAAAATCCGCTTGTTCTATGATAGGGACCCACAAACTGACCTCTGATGAAGTTGTATTAGAGGGATTTTACCCTTGTTACTAATTAAATAAATAACTGTATTTGCATTATTTTTTCTTCAGAGTCAAGTTATGACATCAGCCCTTTCAAAGAACTAAGGACAAAGAGAGTCAAGTTCCCATTTACGCAGGAAGAATATATTTTGCATATTAAGGTCCTGACATTTGGCATCCAGTGTGCAGTAGCTTATTGCGATTAATATGCCTGCATATCACATGTCAAAGGGTTGTTCGCTGAAGGTTGAGGAGGGCAAAATGAAAGATTTATTAAAACTCAAACTTTTCAGATGTTGTTGGTTACCTGCTCTTCCTAAGGCAATTTACCTAAGAGCCCTGGGGAGCAAGAACAGTGGCTCAAAACACCACATTTTTTCAGTCTTGGAGCGTGTGTATACACACTGGCAAATATATAGAAGAATTTGATATGTTCAATAACCTTGGGGCAACACTTGGGTAAACTGTGTTTGTTTCTCACATATAATACAGCTGTTACTTCTGCCCTATACTTTTTGTATATGTATTATTAAGTGCCATACTATGCAAATCTATTCATCCACTGAATGCAAAAAGATGATTACCATAATGATTCTGAAAATGTTCTCATTTCAGCAAGGAAATCCTATTCCTCAAGGGCACGTCGTTTTGCTCCTTTATATACAGTTTTTTGAATTTCCAATATAAATACATTCATCTCTTTCCCCCTTGAAATTATCAATGACACTTTTGCAAAGCTAAGCTGTACTTGCCACTTCATAAAAAGTCTTAATAATGTTCTTTGTTACATCACAGCTGCAGAGTAACCATGGCGACTGACGTAACTAACAGAAATAGTTATTACTCTGTGCCTTCAATGTCTAGAATGTGCAAATGGTAGAAACACTATTAAGTAAAGAAGTTGTCTCAGTAGTACAAATATCTTCATTTTTGACCATGCTCTTGCAGTCATTATGCTTGAGAAAATTATTACGAAAATTAAACTTGTCTGATATATCTCCATACTGAGTCATTTAGAAGCAATAAGGATCTTATCAATTGGGCTTACAGATAAGGTCAAAGATGGGCTTGTTTGCTTACCTGCGTTTTGAGTTATCTTCTAAGGAGTAAAAGCCAGTATTCTGCATCTCCTGGACCCAAGAATATTATACTCCAAGACTACCCTAAATCCAAATCTGTCAGACCCACTTTCTTAGTTTTCTTTAGTTAGAAGTCATGATCTGATTCTTTTTAATAAAAATTTTTTGGAATAATTTTAGATTTATAGAAAAGTTACAAAGGTATGTTTTCCAACTCACACCCAATTTCAATTCCTCTAAGCTTTTAATCTTATATCACAGTCGTGTATTTGTCAAAACTGGAAAAACATCATTGGTGTCCTGTGTTACTATGGACTGAACTCTATATTTTACTTAGGGCTCACAAATTATTACACTAACGTCTTTTTATGAGGAAAAGACATCTTTTCTAAAAGGTGCCATGAAACTTCTCATAGCTTACTGGGCTGAATGGCATTCATGAAACTAAAGCCATCATTAGCAAAGAATGATGGGACTGACACTGCTGGTTTGGGGAAACCAGTCATGATTTATTCTCTGGATTTCAGAGAGTGTATCATCTTTAGATCACTGATGCTCAAGTGCCATCTGAACGAAACCAAAATGAAGTGAGCAAGAACCAAGTAGCTCACTGGTGGATGCAGGGCATTATGTCGTAACATTATATCACAAGACTTGTATTTGCGTAATATAAATGTCTGATACAGTCGACCTTTGAACATCATGGTTTTGACCATGTGGGTCCACTTATTCTTGGAGTTTCTTTTGCCTCTGTCACCCCTGGGATAGAAAGGCCAGCCCTTTCTTTCCAACTCCTTCTCTGCCTGCTCAGTGTGGAAAAACAAGGATCAAGACATTTGTGATGATTCACTACCACTGAACAAATAGTAAATATATTTTCTCTTCCTTATAAGTTTCTTAATAACGTTTTCTTTCTTCTAGCTTACTTTA